ATCTACAAGCTCCTCCACTGGCTTTCTAGGAGGGCCAAATAATTAACTTTTTTATTGCTTCTTAAAATAGCTTTCTAGTTTAAATTTTTTTTTTTTTTTTTACTAAAGAGCTGCTTTAAGACGAAGCATAAATATCATCCTATCCAAATGTTTGATTGGGATATCTTAATCCTTTTTTTTTTTTTTTACATTCACTACTTATCATTTGTTAATTTAATTTTAATATTTAAAAGTGTTGTTACTTATTTATATCTTTAATTTTTTTGTTAAAAATAAATTTAGTTTTTTATATATCAAATCAACTTCAATTCTACTTTGATTCGCACATTCTAATAATATATCTCCAATTAATTTTATATTAGTTTTAAAATTTAAGATTATTTTGAAATCCTCATAATAAAAATCTAATTTTAGGTGTATTTATGCAATATAAGCTCTCATTCATTCAACTTATTTCAAAATAAGAGGTCTTAAAGATGGGGCCCATAATTAATCTCTTGAGAGGGTGGTATTATAAATGAATAGTGAAACTATAGAAATGCTAATGAGGAGAGTTAGCTTGAAAGGCTTTTTGAACATAATATCAGGTTTATATAATATAAGGTAGAAAATGAGGAGAAAGAAGGCATGGGCGGCCACATGATACTTATTTTCAATTCTAATCAAATTTCAAATAATAAGCTTTTATTAAGAGTGTAAGCCTTCATTTTGTGACAATTTTTTTACTTCTTTCTAAAACTGGTTTTTAGTACAAAATTTTTTGAATTCGAAATTTTTGTACTAAAAAATTGCTTTAGAAAATAGTGAGAAAGATGTATCAAACAAAACTTGAATAAATTTTGAATATGAACAATGGAAGACTTTAATTAAAAGTTTAATCATTTATTATCCAATTCATCACCACCAACAAGTAGAAGATGGGGATCTACGAGCTCCTCCACTGGCTTTCTAGGAGGGGCCAAATGATTAGCATTAGATGACTCGTTAGCTTGCTAACTAGCTCTTAAAAATTAAAGTATAAAATTATTAAAAATATCTAAAAAACTAAATCTCATTTTTTTTTTCAAATAAAACATTTCTTATTATTTTTCTTCTAATATCTCATTTATTTTTTTAATCATTTTATTAAAAAATGACTTGAATTAGACTTATTTTTTCTCTTTCATAATAAATATATCGGCTCATGAGGCAACTCAAACTCGTAGAATTCAACTCGAAACTTGTTTAATAAATCAATATCAAATTCAAGCCAAGAATGACTCAAGCTCAACTCCACGCACTTACATCCCTAAGAAAACTCTATGAAAATTTTTAAAAGATCACAAATGATGCATAGCTCCTTGATATCTTAAATGCAACATCTCAAATAAGTCTTTTTTTTTTTAACAACAAAACATATGAATTATTATTCTCTATTTTATGATTATTTCATTTCCCTACATTATTTGAAGTTCTTCAAGTCAAAGAGCATTATTTTGCAATGATGTATGTGCTAGCTTAACATAAATATTATAAAAGAGAAAAGGATGCAAGACAAATAAATGAATAAAGAACAAAAATAATGTGCAAGCACTAAAAGATATTCAAGGCATGACAAGCAATCACAGAAGAGATGAAAAGAGCCATTGTTGAGTGATGTGTCCTTTCATGGCCTTCTAAGAATCCGAGGAAATAAGAGAAATAATGAGTTATCTCTAACAAGTACAATCTATAAAAGGACGACAAATATTAAGTCATTACATTTTCAAATCAAAAAGAAATGACATAGGAAAAAAAGTAAGCGATATTAAAATATTAAAGAAGATCAGATAAAATTTGAGGAAATATTCCACCCATAATAGGGAAATATCGAACTTTTTGGGGCATTTTAGTGTGAGGATCTTGATGAGAAGGCCCGCTAAGTGGTGGTGTGAGGTGGATGTGGGAAGGGGTTTTGGAAGTGTTTAGAATGGATTATTATTAGGGTAAATAAGGGTTAAGGGTTGTTCAAGAGGTAGGAAAGAAGAAGAAACTGTTTTTGGTGCTTGTGGGTTGTTGTAGGCTCAGAAAAGATTGACTTAGAACCAGTTCGAATTGCTTGAGGGGTCTAGCATGGTTTACATGCCTTGGAGGGAAGTAGACCTGTCAATATTTGACCCGACCCGAAAACCCGACCCGAACCCGACCCGAAAATTTCGGGTTCGGGTCAACCCGAACCGGGTCGGGTTTGGGTTAGGGATTTCAACCCGTTTGTAAAACCGGGTCGGATTCGGGTTGGACCGGATTTATTTTAATTAAATTACGAGGATTTTAATGTATTTTTATGAAATAAGTAAATGATATTTCAAAAAATTATAAACATTATTGCCCAAATTAAATTAATCTTGATTTATTTTAAATTAATTGAAGTAAATCTTACCTTAATTTGATTTAGATTTAAATAAAGTGAATTAAATAAAAAAATTAATAAAATATACCCGAATCGGATCGGGTTGGGGTTGGCCCGGACCCGAAGCGGGTAGGGTTCAGGTTCGGGAAACCGACCCGTTTGCAAAAACGGGTCGAGTTGAACAGTATCGGGTCAATTTCGGGTTGGACCCGAATCCGACCCGTGACCCGATTTTGACAGCCCTAGAGGGAAGAGGGATGGTGGGTGGAGAGATTAGTGTTGATTTTATGTTAGAGGGGTAAAACTTGTGATGGGATCGGAAAGCCTAAGATTTTGGTGTGGACAGAGATGTGTTGATGATTTTGAATTGTTATAGAGGTTGTGGAGTTTATGAAGGAGTTGTGGATGTCTACTAAGGTTGTTAAAAATGCATAAATTGAGAGCTAAAAGAGAAATTGAATAAAACATAAAATAAAGGATAAAATCCCATTGTTCATTCCATAATCACATATTTATGCCACATAAAGTCTCCTCGTCGATTTAAAAAACTAAAATTTATTTAATAATTCTCATAGAAAATCCCTTGGTATAGCAAATCCATTGAAAAATAATCATGAGAAGTCTTTTTTGAACCCGAAATGAATAAGAATATGAAAAAATTTAAATAACTTATTGGAGAAAATAACTTCAAAATTTAATAATCATGCTATGCGGAGATCAGTCAAAATACTTCACATCGCCCCTTCGCTCTGTATTACCCGGAACTGCAACTTGGTAACACTAACAAGGTTGCACCTAATTCGCCTCCAGATGTAGAGCTACGTCTGACATGCACATAGAATAATCTCTCGTGCAATAGAGGATGAAGGGCAGGTCAAAAAGAACAATAGGACCTCAATATACCATGATTATTAAATTATATTGATAATATATATGTAATCATATAAATAAATTGTAGAAGCAATATTGCAAATTATGTTATATTTTAAAGATCTGTCAACTTCCTATGATATATTACCCTAAGTTATATAATGCCAAATGATTAAGAGTTCCTTTGAAATGGCTACTCAACTTTAAAAAAAAAAAAATTAGAGTATTATAATTTAAAAAAAAAAAAATAGATAATAATTTTAATATAACTACCATAAACTAATAAATTTGATGGCAAAAAATAACTTAATATCACAATAATTTTTAAAAAGTAATAATAAATAATATGCACTAAAGGATAACAATAATTTGAAAATTAAAGCAGTAAAAACACTCCACCCTCCAAATCCTACATAATTTCCCACCATTTTCTATGCCAAAATTTCATTAATAGTATATGGTTTGAAATAATTTAATATAAAACGTGTTCTTCATTTCACTTGATAATACTAAAAGACATGAAATTAAAAACTAATAGTAAAATTTATCAATTTTTTACCTAATAATAATAATAATTTATAGCAAAGCATAATGAATAATATTAATATAAACATTATACATCAGAGCCCTACATTAGGTGCCCATACCCACACCCACCCATATACCCACCCATACCCAATAGGCATGGGTGAATATGGGTACACCCATGACCTCGTGGGTGGGTATGGATGGATACTCAACATAGAGGACAAACAGATTTACATTACTAATTACCATATACATGAAGTATATTACAATAATCCTTACTACGCAGTGCGTAATACTGAACCGCGTCGTGACCACGATAAATTTTGATATGTGGCTTGAAAGTTTGCAGTCAGAGAAAATGGCAAAAAACCTCAAGGCCATTAATTCGATGCACGCTGCATTCAAAAATCGTGAAAAGTGGGTGTGTGTGGTTGGGTATGACATCCCGAAAGTTACCATAGGTGGAAATGGGTGGGCAAAGCCCGTTAGCTCAGAGCGTTGGGTACCCAACCATGACCCCGTGTAAGGCTCAGTTATACATGCAATCTTACTAGCTCATCAAATGATTTCCCCGTGATTTTTTTTTTCTTGACAAATTCATCATTTTGCTGGAAGTCATTAGCGATCAACAGGAATTTCAAATATCATAAATTTTCCAAGACACTTACGAACGATAAACAACCATTTTGAGTCCTGTAAAGTTTGGAAGAGCATGACTTATTCAATCAAAAAATGCATTCCCTTTGTAGTTCTAGGCAACGCAACATTAGAAAGTTTTTCATGGGGAGAATGAATCGAAAGGAGATCAAAATTGAATAAAATAGATCACAAATCAAAATTATCTTCAAACTAAAATTTTCTCATGTGAAGATTAAGATCTCTTAAGTAAAAAAAAAATTAAACTCTTAAACATTGAGATGCCTTTTGGTATAATGATTGAAATTTTATTAAGAAATTCTAAAGTTAGACATGCTTGTCCAGGAGCAATCCTGAAATAAATGACCTCCTGGAAAGTTCCACAAATAGGATAAAACCGTGAGGTCATTAAGTCAAAGTGGACAATACCTCAATAGTTAAGAGTTTATGTTATTATAAAAAATTTCATAATAAAAACTCCATAGTTAAACATGCTCATGCAAGGGCAATCCTTAGATGAGTAACCTACTAGAAAATTACAACGAGAAAAACCGTGCGACCATTAGGCCAAAACGAACAATACTTTGATAGCTAAGAATTTTGGGCTGTTACATACTTTTTGTTTAATTTAATATGTGACTAGAATTAATTGTTTACTTGAGTTTTTAACAACACCAAAATTTTAAAACATCTGCGTATCAGCACAAAGGAGAGCCCCATGACTGATATTTAAGGCATTTCCAGTAAATATTGACAATACCAAAGACGTCCAACAAAAATCAATGTACTGTAAGCAAACAAAACATATGATACATGCTGATATAATAAATTTTTCCTTATTGTGAGTTCATCAAAATAATGCTACCCATACCTTATTGAAGTTGTCCTTACTGAAAACCCTACTTGGAAAAACTGCAACCCGTTATTTATCCCCCCACGCGAATATCTTCTGCAGACTTCTACATTCATATGCCTTGGTTTGCTATACTGCAGGAGTAAAGGCAAATTAAGAGATGAAACATTCATATAGAGGTCAATTTCATACATACTTCTTTTTCAATGGGCTCGACTTAGGCTCTGTTTAGGACGGCTTTCCTACGGCTTCTTAAAGTAGATTTCTAGTAAAAAATTAAAATTTTTGTACTAAAAAGCTGATTTAAAAAATAATAAGAAAGTGGTCACAAACGAAACCTTAGTGTTAGAACTCAACAATTACTGCTCCAGGAACTCTCGAATCATTTGCCGTTCAACCAAAGTGAGATCATCTTCAGCTATCAAACGCTTTCGCAGTGCTTTAGACTCGTTATCAGAATCAGAGCTTGAGACCTGCAACGATGTTTGGAAGAAGAGATTCCTGTAGATGAGATTAATAGAGCAAGTTGATGAGTTTAATAGATTAGGCAGAATCCCTTACATGAATGTAGTTGTTGACATGACCATCCCCTTGGGGACTTGTCATTAACTCAGAAGTATTACAGGTCCATTCACCATCTACTATGTACTTGTACTCATAGTGCCCTTCCTGTAAAAAGCGCAAGATCAGCGTTATGGATTCAGAGTAAATTTTACCAAAATCTTCCTGTTTTGTTTGTAAATCAATTTGCAAGTTCCTTCAAATAAAAATCAACTATGTAAAAAAGCAAATGTTAAAGTTTACAAATTAATAAACTTTATTAGGATCACTCGTCAAGAAGCGGAAAAATTGTTGACAGGTTTATATAGAAACAAATATATAATAGAACACTAACAATGCATTTCCTTGAGATAATTTAAATTAGTAACTGAAATAGACATGAATGTGATGCTACAACTAGGTGCAAGTTCAGATGCTTTTATCTATAAGCAGTTGGAATAGTTACTTTATGGCCTTGCATTTGAAAAAAGGAAAAATAAAAACATACTCACAGGCAAGTCTCTCTCCAGAAGCCATACACTTTCAGACGGATTAAATTTTAAGGGAATTCTCTACAAAAAAAGGCACAAGCATTAAGTAGAAGAAAAAATGTACAAAAAGGTTGTCTGTGTTCTAGTAACAAAATATTTATATAGGATTCAAATAAATAAAACATGCACGAACTGGTAAAATATGCAAATACTATTGGGAGTACCTTTAAATTTTCTTTATATTGAAACAACCCTGGAATAACTAATATAAGTATGGTATATAAATATATTTATTTTATTTTATTTTATTTTTTTGGGTGGGGGGTGGTTGCAAATGTAGCCATTCAGTTTGCCTCACTACCAACAATGGACCGACACCATAAATTTCTATGTCCAAGATTCACTCATGTCCAAATGAATCATATTATCGATCAGCAATTAGCAATTTTGATGTTTGATTATAATTATTTCACAAATAAAAAACAAATTAGCGCAAATAATTTCACCTGGCCCCAACCAATATCAAGACCAGAAACTTCTACTGAGGAGTATTTGCCACCTTTCCACGATAGTATGACACGGCCACTTGGTAGTCCTGTAAGCTGAAAACAAGATGCAATGAATAAAACAATTGGGCAACGCAATCAGAAATGCCTTTTTAAATATGAGTGATTAGTATAATGCAAGGTACATATATTACTCTGAAAATTGTTCAAAAATGATATTACAGCAAATGCAATTTGTAGCCAAGCACGTACCATTCCATCTTCAGATAGGATGAAATGGAAAAAATACCCAAAAACAAGCATGCGAGTTCAAAGTTCAGTAAGATCACAACCACTTTATAACACTTTAAAACTGCAGCTATTAAGAATTAAAAGTTCAATTTCAAGACTAAATTCAGCAAACCATTCGAACATGCCTAACCAGTTGGCATATGGATGAAAAGAATAAATATGATTCCATTACAAAAGGCATTTATATGCAAGTACGTAGTTGGATAATATCATCACCGGCAAAGGCAGCAGAAGCTGTTCTTGTGTTGATGATAAGATGAATATGACAAGAAATGGAGGATTTGCTGAAACTGTATGCCATAAAATTTTAGGAAAATTAATCGGAATAAATAAATTTACCCAAATGTAATCCTTATTTAGCCTAACTGTGCGTTCTCAATCCTATATTTCCCGCCATCTCGTGGACAACCACCAGGTCTGCCTCACGTCACATCTCTTTCTCCCCAAAAAATGCAAGCATCTCTGATGGGGACATCGACAAGAGATTCCGACGCGTTTATCAGAGGAAACACTGGAGATCAATGGCCATGATGGAGAGACTTTACTTTTGATGCACTTGATGTATTATTTATTTTATTATTCAGTTTTTTTTTTCCAATTTTATCCCTATGGGTAGTAGTTTGTTATTGTAGCCCAAGGGGCATCTAGTCTTTTTTTTTGTCATGTCGAGGCTTATATATATGGCCCCTTCTTATGTATTGGGATGATTGATTGAATAATTGAATAAAAAAATTATGTTTTTTATGTTTCCCTCAACGTTGAGTGTTTAAGAGAAGAAGGAAGGCCCTAGGGGTGGGCAATCGCAATACCCGTCAACCTTTGAAAGGGTCCGAGGTCCGTGGCTTTATCTTGTTCCTCTCATCTCCTCTGACCTTCCCCCTCTCTTCCCCACACCGCCGGCCTGCTCCACTTCCACCGCCCCCCATCTTCTCTCCCCTACCTGACCACCACCACAAGGCCGCCGCCCTTCCTTGGCCCTCTCCCCTCCACCGCCCGTGCCACCACATTGGCTCCACCACCACTTCTCTACCAACCCCCATACCGCCGGCCACCCTTTCCATCCACCCCCTAACCTTCCATCAATTGTCTTGAATGCTTTCCTAATTTAGGAAGATAAAATTTGGAGGGATTTTAAATTCAAATTCAAATAGATTTGAGTTAATTTCTTTCCTAATTTCCTATCCTAATTAGGTAACTCTTTTAATCCCTCAAATCTAAAATCAATTTTAGATTTCTTCTTTAATTTATTTAATTGCTTGGGCCCACAATCCCAATTAAATAAATCCCCCAAATTCCCCTCCATAGGATTGACCGCCCCCTCTTTCTCCAATCACATTAATTAGAATCCAATTAAGGATCCAATTAATTAAATCTCTTGGCCTAATTCCATCCTAACCTCCTTTAATTTCAATTTTCAAATTTGAAATTCCCCTAATCCTACATTAATTAAAATCTGAATTTATTTTCAGATTTTACAATCAAATCCCTCTCCAATTCCTTTCCTAGCCACCTCTCTCACATCCAAATCCTAGCTCACCGCCAGCCCTCCCCTCTCCTCCCCTTCTTGCTTCACAAGCCCGCCGCCCCAAGGAGTCCAAGAGAGGAGCCTCCTACACTCATGGATGGCCAACCCTGAGGTCGACCACTGTTTTGCCTACAACGCACAAAGAGAAATCGACATCCTCCTTTCTCCTTTCTATGAACCGGATTGGGAATACAACTCTGTGGAAAGCTACGTCAGTCGTATCCTTTATTGCCTCGCCAAGATGATTGAAATTCAACAACCCAGAGCACCTTGGCTTCTCATCGGATGGTCCACTCCTTCTCCGCCGCCGACTACCTTCTCTTGGATCAAAGTCGTTGGTGTTGCTACCATCTTAGTGGCGTCGTTTAGTGTGCTGAAAGCTTCTCTCCGCTAAAACCATATATTGAGTGTGAGTGAGAATGGTAACTCTTGGTGAACTTTCTAAATATTAAGCTTTGGATTTTATTACGGCATATCTAGTACTATTGTGATAATTTCTGAATTGTCTTATCTTGTTCTAATCTCCTAAGTTTTGTAATTGCATACCACGACAAAATTGATGATTGAAAATTCTTATAATCATGCCTTATGGCTCATTAACCTTAAAGTAGCAAGTTTCGCAATACTTTTATTAGTTCCTTGCAATTCTTGTTGGTTTCAGATCATCTTGGTATCAGAGCATGGTAGGCATGTATTATTGGTGCTAGAAGTTAACCTATGAGTCTAGCTATCCATTCCTTAGTATGTTTGCATGCATAACATCACCTAGATATTTTATTTTTTGGTTTTTTCTTGCTGTCCAGTAAAAATCTGCATCATTTAGTGACGTTTAGAAGAGTCTAACTTAGTTTTTAAGTGCTTTCCTCACCCTAGCAACCTCCCTAAACACCAAGACACTTAAACTATTGTTTCACCTTGCTGTCCAAAACATTCCTACATCAATTAGTGTCATTCTAGTGAGTCGAACTTTGCTCATCTTTGCTGTCCTCAACCCCGGAACAACCCTAACCACACCCAAGTGTTTACCCATGGATTCGGAGTAAATTCAGTGGACTCTAGACTTGATTGTAGGCCAATTAGGAACAGTTACCCAACAAATTAGAGAAACACGGGGTGAGTTAGCAGACTTTAGGAGGCAAGCAGGAGAACGCCTAGATAACATCGAATGTTTAGGGAAACCGGCAATCTATACACCTTCAATACCTCATTCCCCTTATGCCGAAGAGGCTCGTACTGATTATGGACCTCCCCGAGACTACTATCGTCCCAACCAAAGACCTCATCAAGAGCCTGTTAGACAAAACCCCACTTGGGGAGATAACGACACCCAACTACTGAAAAACATTAGGATTGATGCCCCATCCTTCGATGGCAACCTAGACCCTCAAGTTTTCTTAGATTGGCTCAAGGGTATGAATAGTTACTTCATTTGGTATGATATCTCGGAAGCGAGAAAAGTGCAATTTGCTGAAATGAAATTGACGGGTAGGGCTAGTCAGTTCTGGAGTAACCACGAACACATGCGCAAAACTCGAGGGGAATATCCCATCACTGATTGGAGAATGATGAAGCAAGAACTGAAACAAAAATACCTCCCTCCTTCATACTACCCTTAGACTCTTAGTTCGTTGGAATAGGTTGACCCAAGGTAGCAAGCCGGTCAAAGAATACATTTCTGCTTTTGATGACTTTATGATCCGTTGTAGTGGTGAAGAGAACACCACTCATGCCCAACTTCTTTCTATGTTTATAGCAGGATTAAGGGAAGATCTTAGGAATGAACTTTTCGCCAGAGGAGTGACTACCTTAGAAGCCGCTTGTAGTCTTGTGTTAGACCTAGAAGAATCTAGAAGCTATGCCCATTCTAGGAACCAAGACTCTCGTCCTAACCCATTCAAATCCTCCTCTAGCCAACCACAAAACAAACCAACTGGCCTTGTTATCAGTCGACCCACTGCTGGGTCTTTCCAACCCTGCTCTGACTATAAGGATAAAACCCCTGAACGAGAGACACCCAAAAACCACTGCGGGAACTAAATGCTTTCGATGTCATGAGTATGGACACATTGCCTCTCAATTTTCCAGCCCGTATAAAGTCACGATAATCGAGGAAGTGGTAGATGAAGAGGAAGAACCTGATACCGATTTGGTTCATCATGTGGACGATGATGAAGACTTCTTCATTGATGAGGACCCCGTCGAATTGCAAGTTGCTAGATGTGTCTTGTCCCAACCCAAGTCGAGCGATGATTGTCGTAGGACGTCTATTTTCCATACATTTACCAAAATTGGAGATAAAAACTGTAAAGTCATCATTGACAGCGGAAGCTGCATCAACGCTGTCTCCTCCACTATGATACCAAACTCAACCTGAAATCGACACCCCACCTGAACCCCTATAAGGTTGCCTGGATTAACTCAACTGCCATGGAAATTAAAGAAAGGAGCCTTATCCCTATAGAGTTCGTGGAATATCAAGAAAAGATTTGGTGAGACGTTTTAAACATGGATTTTGGACAGATTATTTTGGTCACCCTTGGCTGTTTGACAACGATGTCCATATTTATGGGAAAATGAATACTTGTGTGTTTGAACACAACGGTAAAAAGATCAAACTTATACCCTCCCTCCCAACCCAAGCCTAGTTCCTTTACTTTACTAGCTTGAAGTAGTTTTTTTTATGAATGCAAATGCAATGTTCAGCCCAACCCAAGCCTAGTAAGGATGAAGTTAAACCTGTCCCTGTTAAGCCTAACAAAGGTCTAAACTTCTTGACTGCGAAGGAAATGGATGTTGAGTTTCATCAAGGATCCCCCATGTATGCCCTTGTAGCTAGGGAAGTAAGTGCTGACCAAGAGGAACATGTTCCCGATGAAGTTAGAACCCTCTAAGAGACTTTTGTTGATGTCTTCCTAGAAGACTTACCCAACCATCTCCCACCCATTAGGGACATCCAACATGTCACCGATCTTGTTCCAGGAGCTTCTCTGCCCAACCTCCCACATTACCGCATGAACCCAATGGAACATGCAGAGCTGAAAGAAACAAGTGGACGAGCTCCAACGCGGCTTCATCAAGGAGAGCCTTAGCCCTTGTGCTGTCCCTGCCCTTCTGACCCTCAAAAAGGATGGATCTTGAAGAATGTGTGTTGATAATCACGCTATCAACAAAATCACGGTAAAGTATCGTTTCCCCATCCCGCGTCTAGATGACATGTTAGATATGATGATAGGAGCCACCTTATTTTCTAAGATTGACCTTAAAAATGGCTATCACCAAATTAGAATTTGCCCGGGAGACGAATGGAAAACCCGAAGACTCAAATGCATAATGAAGGCTTAAATGATAAAAAAAGTAAAAAAAAAAAATCATTTAAAGATAATAAAAAGGGTCTATGAAAAGAAACATTGTCAATGATTTTTCTATCGGCGCTTATCTTCATATACTATATTCAATTTATCAAGATGAGATTGTCCCCGATTAATGAAATAGTTGATTTTTTTTAATCATTGTAAAGCATAAAAAAGCTTGAATTTCAAATGGCATTGCATAGTACATACATATGTATTGCTGAAATTTGTCATATATATATATATATATATATATATATATGAATAAATGTTTAAATTCAAAATACATTGAATTGAATGACATAATTTAATAACTCAAGAATATCAAGAGCCAACATGATTCATAACCCGAAGTGACTCAAATGCATAATGAAGGCTTAAAATACATCACTACAGGAAAACACGGGATTACCGGCGGATTAAATCCGCCGATAATATGTGAAATCCGACAGTAATTAGTGTTTCCGGCGCCTGTTCCGGCAAAAATTGCTGCGCAGGTTTGGTGCGCGTCGATAAATATCTTTCGACGTCTATAATGCGCCGGAAATGGTTCCGGCACACTTTCCGTCGCATTACCGGCGCAAAAAACTCTGTGCAGCCGGCGACTTTCGACCGGTAAATTCTGGCGCTTACTGCGCCGGAGCTTTGCGTCACATGATTTCGTCAGTAATTACCGGCGGATAAAGCCGGAACAATTACCGGCGCAACGGACGCCGGAAAACTTCCGGCGTATGTTGCACCGGAAAATGCGTCGTAGAGTTTCCGTCGCAACAATGCGCCGTTACCTGCGCCGTTCGTACCGGCGCATAATATTCCGCCGAAAAATCCGACGGTAATCGCGTGTTTTCCCGTAGTGCATGAAAATGATTCAATAGCACCTTACTATACATAAATCACTCAATATATATAATTTTCAAGTTAAATATAGTGTGGTCTAGTTACATAAAATATAGAGTTTTGCATGATGATGAATATTATGAACATGATATTTCACATTAGCATTCTCTTGCTTTAAACAATTCTATTGTGACAAAATGGGGATCTTGATTCTCATATAAAGCATTTGATGATAGTTGTGATAACTCTACTCCAAAATCATTTATGAATCATTGAAAGATACATGAGATCTCAATCGTCAAGTTAGCAATGGCGTTGATGTGAAAATAATGTGATTGGTACCCATCAATATATTTTAGGAGATGAGTTTGGTGGGGATGCATTAGGAGGAGAAGAGAGAGAAGCAAAATATCAAGGATTAAACATCAGTAGAATATTAAGTCAATTGCATCGGATGATGTGGAAATGTGATCTCTAATGGAAAACGCTTCAAAAGATTTCATGGTGTTTCATAGAATTCAACTGAAACTATAGTATACTTTATCTATATTGATGAAATCTATGTGTTGTAAAATGATTGTGAAAAGGTGGGGTTCCCTAAACGAAGTGGTTATGGCAATCTACGAGAAACTAACAACACTTATTATGAATTATGAAAGTTGAACAATATCTCTATCTGCTAAGAACATGACAATCCAAATATAATATGAAATATTTATCTACAATCATGTGTAAAAATAGCCACTGGATCCGCAACCTACTTGTACAAGCGGACATAAGGCTTATATCTTTACGATAATACTAAAAATATACATGAACATAAATCCTGCATGTGCTTCTATCGTCATATTTGATTCCTAAATCTAACGGTCCAAGAATGTTGTGCAAGTCAAATATTCAAGTTCCATCCTCCTCTTTGGAAGGACTGGAGTCGACCTGACTTGAATTATAAGATATCTCCTAAAATTCTACAAAATATAGATATTTTTCAAATGACAATCATGTTATCCCCAATGGGTCGTGTTGATAGCTAATCTCAACTGAATGAGTTAAATCTCAAAACCAGTAAAAGTATAAATCCTTAAAGTGAAATCTATTACCTAAAAATTTAAAACTAAAATCATTCACCTTCCACAACCGTTTGTCGAAGTTGTAACTTTGAAATTAACCTCAGCTCATAAAGAGCAAATGTCATGTCAGGTGTATCACTAAGATTCATCCTCAAATAGTCTCTTGTCAGCAGGACTCGGTACATGCCCTCTGATAGAATGGTTTTGCCGCAAAATGGCACCATTATATTATGATCACAACAAAAGCTCGTATATTCCCTAATGGCGTCAAACACCTGAGTAATGAATCATAGGGTATGTTCGTAGGCATAAAGCATTTTGTCAGCTAAGGTGGATTCAGATCTATCCTCTTAGACAAACACCACCCTAGGTCTACAAGGTATCCATGGCTGCCGATAAGGTGACTTCTGTTAGGTTGGGTCAACTACCTCCTCTAACTAAGTAAACCAGGGACCATGACAACCCGGGATGACGGAACCATGGGATCTTGATCGGGCTTGTCTTCATTTCCCCCATCACCTATTTTAAGTATCTAGTGAAAAATTTAAAAATTATAAACTCTAAAATCCAAAACTAAATTCAAACCCTAAAACTATTGCTATTATACGTTGGGTTTGCAACCTATGCGACCTATCTTACGACTAGCCTTAATCGAAAGTTCTCTCTCATTATCGGGAGGGGTAATTAATTATAGGGGCATGTGCCTATAAAAATCAGAACTCATATTATAAAGTCCTCGCAAAACGAGGTAAAATCTCTGGGTAGTGTCTCATCTACAAACATAATCAGCCTTCTGAAAGTTTATCCTAGAACCTAAACTCATTAAAACTCTCCTTGCCTACTTAAACAAACAAACAGAAAAGAGCTGGCGCGGAGAGGTCGTGGGTGTGAAATTTTAAAAGCCCACATGAGAGAGAAAAAGATTAGGGGAGTGAAGAAAGAGGAAAAAATTTGGAAAAAGCAACAATATAAGGGAAAAAGGAATGAGAACTTCCGGGATGATAGCAAGTAGCTTTCAAATCATAATTTCATTCATTCAACCAATGATTTATCACAAAGTAGACTTCCATGTTTAAAGAAATGGAGATAACTATATAAGATCAATCTAAATTTAAATCTTTCCCATCAAAACTACCATAAAAATGGTCCAAAGAATAATTTTACATAAAATAAAAATTGAAAATCAATTTGAAACTAATCAATCCTCCACAATTTCATTAGAGATGAGAGAAATCTACTCCAAAGAGTTGAAATACTGATAAAGATGAAGCAAATGATCACCAACTCTACTAACATTTTACAGTATTTATCATAAGGTGAAAAAATGGGAAATTCATCCCCCGGTGGAGAGACAAATGAGAAATACTTCATAGGATGAAGAAATGAAGGAGAGAAATATCGAAAATTACCAATAATAGTTAAAGAATCTTACCATAAACCCTCTAGAACATTAATAAAACCCAGAGAAGAAATCTTTAGATTTATTAAATTGACAGGAAATAATCAAACTACCTACTAGTTATTTTAAGAAAATGTTGATACGTACCATAATTAATTTAAGGAGTAGGTTGATTTCTCATTGGCAAATTTCATTTTCAACACTTTTTATCTCTTTTAATAATACTTCTGTGAAGAGGACGAGATGAAAATGTTTCTAAAAAAAGACAATAGTTTCTCTTTTCTTCTGATAAACGTATTGGAAATCATGAAGCAAATATTAAAAAAAAGCAACAAAGTTAAATAATATATTAATATGTAATTATTAACAAGGAAAATTGAATGCAGATTGAGAGGAAAAAGCCTCAAATAATAAATGAGGGTAAAGATTGCTTTAAGCAGAATCTGGCAATGAGAAATTACAAAAAGATAGCCAGAGCGAGATCTGGGACAGGATGGGCAACCACGTATTAGGTTGTTTCTGAAGATTTATCTTGCAGTCAACATCGTTGTAGCAACAAGGCCAACAGTTGAATAAAAACACAGTGAACCAAACGTTTTGTATGTGCAGTAGGATAGCCATAGTGGAGAAGGACATGAAACAGAAGATTATTTTTTCAAGCAAGAGACATGTATGCGACCATGAATGATGAATTTGTTTGACACTGATACTAAAGTGATGATGAGTAGAGTTTAGAGATATGGGGATATGAGAAGAGGAAGAGAAGAGAAGAAATAAGAAGTAACAGCGGACGGGAAAGCAGAACGAGAATTTATAAGAGAGAAAAAATAAGCATTCAAGCCATAATTTCATTCATTCAATCAAAGGTTTATTACAACTCCCTTATAGAACAAGGTTAATAGATAAAATTAATTTTATACTCAAAGTACCCTAATAATTATCAAAAAAGGACAAATTTACAGAAAATAATGCAGAAAAGAAATCTAAACCTAAGCTATCATGCATCAACTATGCACCAACATATTCTTTTAACTATCCATCATGGGTTAAAACTTTTAACCACCAGTAATAGAAACTATTATTCATAATTCCGTATGTTAACACTAAATTTACATTAAAACATTTTTTTTATGGTACTAACCCTAGTAAAATAAGATGTCTTACCAACTGGAAGAGAAAGAGTTAAAACTTCATAATAGTGCCTCAACTTGCACTAATCAAAATATTCAAAAAATTAATAATAATAATGAAACTTCAATCAATGAGAATTATCACCATACTATTCCATCATCTTGTAATGGAGGCATTTTTAAGGCAATAAACTAAATAAATAGATACTTGTTTGAACAAGGCATTTGGTTCCATTAACTATGACATAGCATTTAACTGATATATTAAAGAGAAACACTAATATAGCTTCCAAACCACTAAGACTTACAACATCAGCAGTAGCACTCCTTATAGCCTCCAATTTTGGACAACAAGCTCTTCTGCTCTGTTAACCAATGATTTGATCAAAATGAAAAAAATATCCCCTTAATTAACGAATAGACCTTAATAAAAGAATAAATGAAAATACAAGGTACAAAAAATAACAATGGTAGTTGCATGCAGAGATTAAGGCTTCGTATAGGACAGCTTTTGACAAGTGAATTAGATTTTCAATAGAATACCTTGAGGGATAACAGTTTCTCATTGTTTCTGGATCTAAACAGTGAGTAACCTTGGTGTTTTAACAAAACACAGAACAATGGCAATTGTACAAGTGTATGAAAAAGTTTACGGGGGTGAAGGCCAATACTTGTAGGAGTTGCAGCTGCTATAGTAAATTGGATTGCAGAAACAAAAAGGATAAGGGGAGACTAGTATTTAGTGAAAATTCATACTTCATTCAATCTAAACTTGATTTTAGATTAAAAAGATATTTAAATTTATAGACAACAAAGAAATATCTAAAAATCTATTCAAATTCAGATGAAACAAGAAGATAGAGACTATCCCTTCAAAGTGCTACTACCCTTAAATTCCCTCAAAAGGTGGTCGGCCTAAAGATAAATATGATAATTTATCGAGAGAATCTAAGTTAGCAAGCATGATTCCCTCCAATTAATTTTTCTATCTACTCCATATTTGAAATTCTAAATTGAACTTTTAAAATTAAGTCCTCACTCAAATCATATATGCAAATCAAGCCTTTCCAGATTGATCATGCAAATATTTTTTAGACCTTCTTGGATCATAGCTCCCCATTTTTGGCATTTATTCCTCCAAAATGAGAGCTTTCCATCTTTTGTCTCTAGGACATGTTCTTTCTTCTTGCAATCATGAGCTTCTACGTAAGCTAAGATGGTTCATTATCCTTTTTTGATGCAAAGCAATAAATAGGAAGGTGCTTCTGATGTTTTACATCAACAAAAGATATTGACCACTTGCGAGAATCCTCTAGCCTGAGGTCTTCTATTTCTCCAATGAGCATGAAAACTTAGATCAACTAACTTTACTCTTTTTTCCCTTTACAAGTAGGAGTGTCAAAGAATGACCCACACAGCAACCCAACATGGACATGGCATGAAAAATCATAGTTCGGGTATGAATTTATGATTCAATAAAATTTTGGGTTGAGTTAAGGTTGACCTATAAATCTAGGGTTTGGATCGACATGCAAATTCAAATACTATTCGAATTGTAGTAAAACAGTTTAGGTATAGGTTACATGAGTAATTTTTGAGATAAATGGTTTTGTTCAAGTTAAACAAGTCATGTTAATCCAAAAATATTGCATGATTCATATAATAAACATGTTAAAAGGCTTAGGCTTGGATCAGACAAGTCTGATCTAGTCAAGTTTAGATCAAATTTTTTTTCCTAATTAATAAATGGGTTAGGTTCAAGTGAAGCAAATTTAGGTCAGGTCAATTTCTAGTTAGACCTGAACCTATCCCACCAACCCAAATTAACACCCTTATTTATAATCACAATTTTTTTTCATCTTATCCGAAAGAGAGTATCCCTATCCCATAAATATGGACTATTAAATATAACATTGAATAACATCCAAAAATAGCCCTAATTTCTTAACCAAATCTTCAAATAAGATGTCCATTTCACTACATTTACATAAATAATGTTGATTAGTGAGATATCAACTGAAGCCTAAGGTGAAAAACTCCCCCTAACTTCCTTAACATCAATGAGTATGCCATCAAGCCCCAATGCAAGATATATTTTTGTCACTCCTACTTCAACTTCTTTGGTAGTGAGTCTTCTTCTTCTTGTCCTCCAATTTCGGCTTCTACTCTAAATATTAACTCCAATAATGTTATAATTTATTTTCTAGATTTTTGCAACAGTGACAAGGTTAAAATTTTATTGTTTCCCTATAGTTCAACAATCAATTATTTTCGACTTCTTCATGGTAGCAAATTAAGCTTTTGTTTGATGAAAAGAACCATTGTCATTCCTTAAGTGTTATAGCTTTTTTGCAAGTCTCAAAGGTGCTAACAACTAAAAAAGGCTTCGACTCTGTGTGAAGAGTTCCATAAAGCCTAACGACATATTTCTAAACATAAAGTTTTCATCAACAAAATTTTAAAAATAGTATACTATCTTCAAAATTTTATTGTGCATTCACATTTGGAATGTTATACTTCTTAAACGTTTTCCATTAGATTCACTTTTCTTCATCATATCCAATAGGACATAATTAAGCTTTCCACTATCTTTGGAACTCTGATCATACCAATGTTAATAGATCATACATTTTAGATTGTGAATTCCGCTGCACTATAGCATGTGAGGATAACTTCAAACATGCAAATGCTATTGTAAACCATGCAGTATGTTTCTAAAAGCTCAAATCGATTATATATTACCTTATTGTAGTAAGAAAACTTCAACTTTGCATTTACCTCAAAAGATAGATCATTTTCTCCTTCTGTATTTTCTTAGTTACTCTCTTAGTTTCTCTCCTTATTAATGAATTCTCTTTTACTAGTGTTTGTCTTCTAGTGGATGGCTCAACTTTTGTGTAGATAGGCGCTAGTGGGATAGATATTATAGGAAAAAGGATTAAAATGGTCTCTTAACTTTTTATAAAGAGCCAAAATAGTCCCAAACTATATTAAAGAACATTTTGGTCCCTCAAGTCTTTAAAAATGAACCAAAATAGGCCCATGTTGAACTATTTACTTTAGTTCATCTTTAGAGAGTTAAAGGACCAAAATGCTTATTTAATATAGTTGGGGACCATTTTGGTCTTTTTCTTCTATATTATATGTGGTGGAAGCCATCATTATGACTATTTGTTCTTTTATCATGGTCATCTGGTCAACCAATAAGGATGATGATTTTATTATCGATAAAGCGCCCAACTTGATCGAATCTGATAAGATAACAAATAATTTGATCTGATTGCATAGTTAGTCAAAGTGTGAGCACTAAAAATTCCCACCCAATTCTTTTAATTAATAAATGAGTGTTTTGAGGTTAAACCATGATTTAAAATTTTGTACAATTAGAGGCTCGCATAAACACAATTTAAAAAAAAGAAGGTAATGAGACATACGCCTCAATTGTCGGCGCAATGTTAACAGAATTTTGAAGAGGCGTAAGAATTAAAAATTAGGATTTAAGTAATTTTAAAATTTAAATTTACAATTATATATATATAATTAAATATATTTACAATATATAAGTAAACCGAATTTGAGAAGAACCACACGACTTCAAACTCTCAACTACATGTCATAGAACCTTTACACTCATACACGATACTGCTATGTATAGGTCAATAATTTGCCACAGCTACTACTCCAACGACTCTCCTCTCGCATTTGGAACCCCATTTCCTTGGTTTTAATAAGAGGGAGGCAAAAAAGCAATTAACTATAATGATAATTTCAATGAAGATCCCTTAGGAAACATTAAAATTCATAAATTATAATATTAAACTACTTGTTTATATTGAACTGAAAGTGAGAAAGACTTTATTTAGTGAAGGGAGTTGCATTTTATGACTTTTTCTAGCCTTTGGCTTTTATGATCGTAATTTAATATCTTACTTTGATGTTGCATGTTATTTTTTAATTAATTTGATAGTTTAATTCTAAGGCTTATGCCTCGAAACGTCTTGAGACCAACACCATGCCTTATAAAAATAAAATGTCTCAATACCCAATTGCGCAATTTCAACACATGGGTTAAACTTCCAAAAAATAAATTAAATATCCGAAAAGACACTATCTAAAGATTTCTCTCTAATTTTACAAGAACTTAAAGATCTGATTCAAAGTTTTCCAAAACACAAGCCCCTATGTTTAATAATCCCTCTCGTTAATAAGAGAACTTTCTAACAAGGCTAGTTATTAGGTTATTAATGTGCAGTTTATAGTAGAAACAATTTGGTTTTAAAAAAGGGGAAAAGTACGTCGCTATTAGCTTAGAATGAAAGGTGGGAGAGTGATGATGAACGAAATCAAAATCTTTATCTAAGTGGGTTAAATGTTTGCTTAAGGGAAAAAAATTAAGCTAATTCTAACTAATGAAGAACTTCTTGTCCTATCAGATACATTTTATGGTTCACAGCTCATAGATTGAGCCATTGGATAATATTTGGACTTCAGTCATAAACATAATCTAGTGATGTCATTTTCCAACAAACCGCCCACTCAGAGGGTACATGCAACATTATTATAAGAGAGATATTTTTTAAGATTGATCAAACAGATACACTTGGATGGTTGATTGATTTAAGCTTAAAATGGTTGATTATTTCTTTAACATTTTTAGTTAAATGGGTTTGAAAAAAAAAATTATGAATTTTGTATTTTGATAGGGGATTTCCTCTCATTATAATGTCATTTTGAATACATCAAGTCATGCAAGTTTAGTTCAAAACTTGTCAATCACAATCGAAGTTATATAATCGTCACCCATTTCATAAGACAAAAACTAATGTGTCTAAAATGTTGAAATTATTGAGGAAAAATGCCCATATTTTCCAAATTAACGAACAAAAAAAGTCAAGAAATTCACCCAAACGGGAAACAAGGATGAAATTTCAACATTCATGAGTATCAAAAAAGTACTTAAGATGGTGACACACATTAATTTTATCTTTTATTAATTTAATTAATTAAAAATTTCGTTGACTGAACCCTAGGCCTTGTCCTATATCTAGTAATTCTCAAACTCATCCCGTTCTCCCCAATAAAATAAAAAAGTAAAATATAAATGGTTTACATCATTTGGCTTCGCTCAGTCCAATCATTGGTGCAAACCACCAAACCACTCAATACTCCTCACTCTAATTTACTGAAGCTTACTAACTCTCTTAATTTCTCTCTCTTAACTTCTCCACTCACACTCTTACCTAAACTACTAAAACCCATCAATGACAAAAATATGAGAAAATCATGTCACATGCTCATTGAAGAAGTATTGAAGGGATCAACAACGAGTGAAAGATAAAAGGGCTTCGAGAGATTCCAAATCTTCCCTTCTTTCGCTCCTAAGTTTCCTGAGACCCTAAATGATAAAGCAACCAAGAAGTTGCAATAGTTGCTTGTTGGAGAGAACTTTCACAACTCAACAGTGTGCAAATGAACATACGAATTAGTGAAACCTTGTGGGTGCAAGTTAAGCCCACCCCATCACCTAAACCTCGCTGCCAACTCCACCCAATGCATCTCACCACCAAGCTCCCCAAAAAACCTTCCCAGCTCATGGATTTAATATCCCCCTTTCCCAACCTCACTTTCAAACTCATCGATGTCCTCTCCTTTCCAACCACACCAGCGTCCTTCCACACAATAGTTGTAGACATCTCCACTCATTTCCTCTTCCCTTACTACCACCAACAACCTTGTTGCCAATCTTTCTCACCTTTAACAATATTCACTCCATCTCTTTCTCACCATCACCCTCAAACTATCTGAGCTACTAAAACACTTATTTCCGACCAATTCACCACGGAACTCCCATACATACAACTATCATCGTAGATCTTCCTCAACTACCCACCTCTCAACACCACCACCTCGCCCTCTCCTTCTTTGTCAATCTGACTAACCCTCTTTCTCTACTTCATTCTCTTCCTCACTCTACCTATTCCATTCTCTCTCTAACTCTCACCCTCTCTTAAAAAATAAAGACTATATTTTCAAAAAAAAAATGAAATTTAAAAAAAAAAGAGAAAAGCAATATATAGTGTACTCAACATAGCAAGCTAACTTCGTCATTGGCATCACCGCATCATGCTTGAAGGTATAAAAAATTCAACCTTTAGGAACTCATAAAATTTCGATTGCAATGTGTTTGATGTGACGAGCGAAACTTGTGCGTGTCATTATTGGTCCAACAGTGAAAACTCGTAGGCGACGCTCTCAACTCAATGGTTAAGCTTCATGCAAATTTTCTTAACACAGCGGAGAAAAATAGTTGCCAAGTTTCTAGTGCACTTGGTTTCTAAAGATTCCAACCATGATGTCTTAGGATACCAATCATACACATCCTTTTAGGCGTGTTGAGCAGATCTATAACTCCTAGTAGATGTCCACTATGCGAGAGAGATGTAGAAGACTACCAAATTTTCAATGAAGTGAGACATAAATAACACAAATTAAATATAAACTAAACAAAGAAACAAAAGGAAGATATAAATGCATGCTAAGAACGAAAAAAAAAACCTAAAAAATAAAATACTTGTCGTCTTCCAAGGCCTGTCAGACTAAGAACAAGAACATACATGAGACTTGAAAGCTTGTAAACAAGAAAGAACATGATTTGACAGTCTGATAACGAACATGAATAAAATCTTTCAATGAATGCTTGAACTATGCTACATCTTACATTGAAAGAATTAAAAAATAACTCGGATAGAACAAGAACAAGGAGAAAGCTCAAAAAAACTCAATCTCCATTTGCACTAGAAGGCTACAAAAATTTCATCTAGTTAAAAATTTATTAAATCAAAGTTAAAATCAAAGTAGAATCATAATACAATGATATATTTATAATCATAAAGCTTTCCTGAATTTACCCAAAAGAAAATTAAAAGATAAATTGCAACCTTATATTGAAACCTAAAGAATCCTATCACAACCATCATCCCCTAGCAGAACCTATCCGCCTTCCTATAATTTCCAATTGTGTAACAACCGTGAACAGGTAGAAGTCAAGGGAAGGCATTGCAAAAGACCCAAAAGGGCTCCTGATGCTAAAGACCAACAATGCTTGCGATGTAGAAGCCGCAGGAACAAGGAACCAAGAATAAGAATAGTGATCACCAAGGCAGAAGTTCTATATCAAAACTTTATGTTGCAACTCAACATTAAAAATTCAACGCAGTCGTAGAGAAGTGAAAATTGATATAGATTTCATTTAGATCTTAAGCATGCCCAGTAAAGCTTCATAAAAGAGAAATTTCATATTGCAAGTGCAAATGAAAAGATTAAGTAAGATGAGTTACTGGGGATTACCTGAAGAAATTTATGTGCCTCACTTAGTTTATATCCTAGAACCCAATACATATAGGCCAACTGTAATTTACAAAGTTCTGAAACAAGGTTAGCGACTTCTCTGCCACTTCATGAAAATCAAAATAGACTATTAAAAGAATCAACAAAAATAGCAACATTAAGAAACATTAGGAAAAATACTGCAAGGAAGTACACTTTAGTATAAAAGCCAACACCCCAGCCAGCAAGAAGTTCAGAGCTAGGGATCACAAGAATCGAGTCAATTGACTAGAGATGCTAATACTACTAAGACCAACTTACAGAAGTTGCAAAACTACAGAGCCTCTTTCCAGATAAAAGAAACTCCAAAAAATTATTCAGTTACAATAAGAGCATTTTAATATTAATATTAAAATTAATATCGTTTATCTGTTATTCATATTAATATTAATAATTAATTCATGTTACAATAAGAGCCGTTTAAAATTAATATTTTTTTGAAAATTAAAGTAAAGTAACATGAAAAGATGTTCAAAATGATCTGCAAAGAATAGAACTTGGATACACTTTGCAGAAATGAACTGAAAATGAAGCTTCATAAAACCAGTCCCAACTATTTCAAAGTAAAGCTAATGATTAACCAATAAGAGAAAATTGGAGAAAAGCAATACTGCCGTATGCATAACAATCAAACTAGTTGAGAAAAAAACACAATTATGTGGAACTTTACTATGATGCACATGCTAATCTGGAGGCCACTTTCTGATGACATACTACCATAAAAAGACTATCTTCTGCTTAATTCAGATATGAATGCCATATATTAGCTTCACGATGTGGCTAATAACGTGAAATTAAAGGGTAAAATATGGAACAATGATTCAAGCTCCCCACTAGACAAAGTTGAATGTACTGCGTCATTCCAACATGCCAGAATTTTTGCCACGTCTCCTAAGGGTCAAAATGGCTGCAGAACTAATATTAAGAACTAGTACCAAAGTAATACGGAAAAGGTTTCAGTAAAGGGAAAAAATCTCAAACAAGCTTAAGAAGAATATCAGTGTCAGCAGAAGAGGTGTGTGAACCTCTGCAACTTTCAAATCAAACACATTAAAGCAGCTCAATCATGACGTAAAAAGGAAAATAGGGAAAGGCATGAACTTCTGAAGAAGCATTTGAATCCCCTTATTACCGCAACAGTAGGTGCTCTTCCAAGACCCGCAGTGCAATGTACGTAGGCCACACCACCATTACGATTGATAGCCTTGTTTAATTTGCTAACAACAGCAGGAAGCCTCATCCTCAGATCAAAGGCATCAAAATCCCTGTTAAATCATAGATAAAGCTAAGGGTATCTCCAACCGAAAAACCTATTTTTCACTTCAAAATACAGTAACAATCATATCAAATAATAATTCATCTCTAACCAAACTCCATTTCTAACAACAAAAAAGAATATTCCGTATTTATCTTTAAATAAATTAATTACATAAAAATTAAATATATTAAAATTAGAAAATTAATAGCATAAGTTAAAATAATATATTTAGAATCAAAATCTTAAATTTTAATAATTTTAGGATATTTTTATAATTAAAAAAATGAATTTTGTGAGCAGTGCGACTGTTCACAGCTGCAAAAAATGTAGCTACGAATGCCGTTCGGGCAAACAGCTCGCAGAATTGCAAACGGCCGTAACTAGTTCAGTTGGAGATGTCCTAAATATTACTAATGCCATGCTCCTATTTTCACTATTAAAATAGTCGGGGGACTATTTTAAAATTTAATCCCTACCAAAAATATAGAACCATAAACATGGTAAAAAAATTACATCAAACTAGAAAGCAATGAACATAATTCAATAATGAACGTGAGAATATGAGATACCATATAAATATGCTCAAAACCACATTCTATAAGCTATGCCTCATATCTGCATCAGATGGAAATTAATGAATAACTGAATTGATTTACTGATTGACCAGTAAGCTTTCTTGAAGTTAATTTAGACAAAAAGTTGTAGCATGGGATCCATTCAATCCATGGGGGCTATATATGAGGCTGTGCTCTTCTTTTAACAAAGGAAATAATTGTTAGAGCATGACAAGAAAAAATTATAGAAAATTGGTTGATTGGTTGAGTATTTTCTTTTAATATTTATACAATCATAGGGGAGTTTCTAATAAGAAACATACAAAATCAGAAAATAATAATTATAATATTCCATGAATTAATGAGCAGATGGTAGGGATCCTATGGATCAATGAGGCAATAATGAAAAAGGCAAAAAGAAAGAGAGAGTCTCAGTGACAAGTGTTTGATACTGCCGCTCGAGTAAATGAATGGATGCCATCCATTATAAACTTGACTGATAATTTTTGAAAGACTACTACTGATAATATTTTAGTGAGAATTTTAGCAAGATTTTCACATGCACGAGTACAAGTACTTGTAAATATTTTTTCAAGTGCTCCTAGAAAGCCTTTTTTACTTTCACCATCTTGTAAATGGCCCAATTATTTTCTTCCCTTAAAGAACCCATGAATCAATCACGGACACTTAAATAGTTAGTTCCATTCAAATAGGGGCGGAACCAACCCTAATTTTCAGGGGGGGCAAATTTATAAGGCGTATATGTCGGGGGTCCAAGGGGGCAGCGTCCCATGGCAGGGTTCGATCTGTTGGGGGCAATTACCTAAATACCATAGTATTTTAAAATTTTTAGGGGGGGCAATTGCCAAAAAAATCCTTGTAATAAAGACTAAAAAATGGATGAAGAGAAATAAATTACCTAAAAACCATATAATTTAAAAAAAAATTTTGAGGGGGGGCAATTCAATTAGTATGTTGAATGAATGTTTTGCAACTGCCCCAATAAATTTAGATTGCATCCCACAATTCCAAGAAAACCCAAAACCAATAGTATGTAGGAATTATTATTGTTCTCAGTGGAGTGTGAAATTATAGTTCTATTCACAATAAAAAATAGAAAAGGAATGAAATGCATCCATGCAACAATGAAGACTACACACCAATAAGACCAATTTGCAGTAACACAACGATGAAGTTTGTAACAATAAAAAATGCTTGTGTCAATGCAACAATGAATGGTGAAATTATTAAAATTGGGGAAAGAGAGTACAACAATGAAGGCCGCAAGATTATGGTAATGCGGCGATGAAAGCTACTGTAATGAAAAACACAAAAAAGAGAAAACTCATAGAGCTCTAATATCATAAGAAAAATTGGAGAGAACCAGTTAAGTATTTCATCTCAACATCTATGCATTATTTTTATAATATTAGGAGAGCTTCTAATATTAAACATATAAATCCTATAAATAATAAATACTTTATAATTACAATAGTCTGCAAATGGAGTAATTGGGATCCTATAGATCAACAAGGTGGAAGCAAAAGCGGAAGGAAAGAGGCAAAAATTTTGATGAGTACAGCTCAAAAATAACTATCAACAGCAAAAGTACAAAATCATAAGTCATTCCAGAGGAAGCTTTAGAATTTCCAAGATTTTCTTGTTCATTTAAATCGATATCCTGGGGTTCACTTTCTGGAGAAATTTGGTGTTCATAGGTTTAGAGAGGAATAACTTTTTGTGTCCATTGACATATACACGTGTGGCTTCTTGAAAGTGGATTGATCCCTCTTTTCGCTCCCATGTAGGTAGGCTATAACCAAATCACACAATTTTTTATGACTTTTATGCGCTTTATCACTTTGTTGTTTAGTTTGTGTTGATCAAGTTCATTCCAAGAAGATACTACCGCATTAACAAGGAATTTGTTCTAACAAATGATACTAGAGCGGCTTTCTTTTTTTTAAATATTATAATCAGAGCCTAATAAGGATATCAACAATAACAACATTCGAGATTGAAAATTTTAATGGCTCAAAAAGCTTTAGGATTTCCAAAATCAAGATGTGTTGTATGCTTGGCTAATAGGAAACTGAGAAGCTCTCATTGGTCATTCAAAGATGCTTGAGACAATGGAAGAGGTGGATAAAAGAACTCTCACAACAATATAATATTGTTTGGCAAATGAGGTTTTAATAGAGGAAGGAAAAATCATTATAAGGTTATGACTTAAGTGGAATCCATACCTGTTAACGGAGAATGGCGCACCATGGCACAAAGGTCCCTTTAGAGCCATGGCGCATAGCGCACGGCGCGGCGAGCGCCATTTTGAACATGGTGCAAACTATATAAGAATTATAAAATAATAAGCATGAATATGAAATAATATTGTCCAACATGACACAAACTTTACATTTCACAACAATATTATCCAAGAGACAAGAATTCACATTTAAAGTCCTCACCCCTTCCTCCTCTCTTATAGGGTCCAATGTCTCTCAATCAAAGCATGCACTCATGAAGAAAACTTATACAAAGCATGCACTCATGAAGAAGCAAACTAACACTAACAACTATTACTAAAGATGATAAATACAACAATATGTTGGGCTGCCAGGGGTCCAAGGGGGTGCTGCCCCTGGAACAAATTTTTAGGATAAGAGCAATTATGAAGTTCTGATTATTTTTAAAGTTCGTAAGTTGTTTGTATAGAAAGATACCTAGTGGTACCGAGCATATAACTAGCGGTACCGAACTTTTTTTTTTAAGAGGTGGATGTCACATTTAAACAATTTGGCGCGCCATGGCGCACGGCGATAATTTAGTTCGAAGCAAATATTATACATGCTTTGCATGTGGGAACTCCAAAAAGGCTATCAAACCTCGATAATTTAGGAATTTCATGGTAATTTTAACAAATATATAGATTAACTAGATTCCACATAGATTAAATGTTAAGTTTAGATTCACGATCAACAATTGCTATTGACACGAGACCTTATATTTAATTATTAGAGATAGAACCCTTGATTAAGGAAGTCGCTTAAGCTCACTTTTAGGCTTGGCATTAATTAAGGGAATGGATGTGATGGATAAACTCAATAAAGATCTCATGATTTTGTTAATCGAATTTACGAGAATACACTACTCAAAAGATTCAAGGATCCATGGATGAAACTTTTAAGCAACTTGTTAGAAACTATGGATTACCTCATCCAAGGCAGCTACTAAGAACTTAAGAAAAAGGTGAATCAAAGAAGATATGAAGATAAACACAATCAAGATAACATGATTCAATCATTTTGGTTCAACTCATAGAACCCAAGGAGGCAAGGAGCCACAATTATAACATTTGAGCTCTTTATTAGCAACCAAGGATTATCTCATCAGAGGCAAGCTATTAAAAACTAGGAGTGCAAATATTTCAAATATGAAATTTTTTAGGCCTTCTCATTTTTACCAATTTTACTAAATGGTTCAAAGAAAAGTAACATAGTCACTTACGATTCAGAGGTACAATACATGATCGATCTAAAAGGGCTTAGAGGTATGACATGACCACCAATTGTGATGTGATACTCATGCGGACTCACATGGACAAATCTAAAGAGTTTAACTAGACAAAAATCCAAAAAAGCTAAGCCAGACTAAATTTAAAATCTTTCTTGGTTCATTATTAATTTTTATTAAATTTACATTTTTTTTAATTAGCTTGAATGTAATATGGATAATAATTTATTTTTAATTATCCTTTAAGAATTCTATAAATAATACCTTATGTACCGATTTTGGAATTACTTTTGGAAAAACTATGAAAATTTTTAGAAGACCAAGCTTGCCTTCCTAATACTAATATTTTTTGCCTTGAAGAGTTAGCGACCCAATGTTTTCAGGATTGGACATCAACAACTTGAACATTCTCAAGTTGGTAGATTATAGTTTTTTCTTCCTATTTTATATTATTTTCATAATTATACTGCAATCCCTGTACCTCATCAAAGAAAAAGTTCCTTTTTTTTTTTGTTTCAGGGTTTGCTATTTTCTGCTTTCCTGTATGATCCCCTATTGTTTCCACAAATTTTTAATTTGCATCTGTTTTCACCATAATATTCATGTTCAAAACTCGCAACCTGCTAATTGAACCCTTAGCCAGCAAGCATTATTGTTGTCGTTGCCAATAAACATAGAAGAACGGGAACCTAAGAATTTGTTGGACCATACTATGTTGTCCCTACCAAAAATCGTTATTGCATGCACTTTTTTCTTTCTTGTTGATGTCCCAAGCTTCTACCACCACATACATTCTACACTTGAGTTATCCTTCTACATCATCAAGGTATAAAAATTCAAAGCACTAAAACTACATAATTTTCACATTTAACGTGCTCTATGAAAAGCATCATATAAATGTCAACAAGTTGACTACCTCTTTTTTGTTGATCAGCAAATTTTT